ATTGACTTTAGCATACTTTTAGGCGTAGTTTAAAATTTCAAGCCCATGTTTAATATGCACATTATAAAAAAGTATTAAATTTATATTTAAGCTCAAGAGTTATATGACTAATTAATTTGTTCTCTTTGCCTCTTAATAAAGAGTTCATTATCATTATTTTACAAATATGGTTGGTTATAACAAAAAATAGAATTGTAAAAATAAATCATACATCCATCGAACGACGCGAGTAGAATTTTATCAGTATTTAGTTTATCGGCATAACGAAAGAAAGCATTTAGACACGAACTCAACGTTAGTCATTTATTTCATATATATTTTTTAAATTAAATTCAAAAATATTATTATAAATATTGTAATGTAAAAGTGTAAGTGATTTTTTTATTGTATTTAGAAAATTTAATATGAATAATATTTTAAAGCGACAACAAAGCCATAATAGCGAATTGGAAAAAAATACTTCAATATATTCTCGAAGGCACAACACAGCAAAAGGCGTGGATTTTTTTAAATTTTTGTTTAACGTAGTTATAAGCCTCGTTTTAAAAAACTAATATTTTCTCGACAGCGTAGATTTGGAAAGGATTTTTGAAGGCCCAACAATGTCTGGAATTGGAATTTTAGAAGTCACTGCATTAAAAAAAAAATAATAAATAATTGGATTTTTTATGAATTTTTGAAAGCCAATCAAATCCTTTGCAAAGGATTTTTGAAAGTCCATTAAAGTCTGTTAAAAAATACCGTATTATAAAGAGATAGTTTTTTTTTAACGAATATCGGTTAAAAATATTTTGTGAAGCCTAGTCAAACATTTTTAAAGAATTTTAGAACCCCTTGGTTTTTTTTAGCACCATGTTAAAACTGAGATTTTTGTAAAGAGTTTTTGACGGCAAATCAAAGCCTAAATATATTTTTTCAAAGGATTTTTGAAGGACCCTTAAAGTCTGGATTACAGAAATGCCATTGAAGTCGCTTATAACGACATATTGATTATAACGACGGAATACAAAAGTTTTACCATTATTTCATATCTCTTATAACGACTGTCGCGTCAAGTGACCAATTTCGGCAGGCAGCTGTATATTTTTTGAATGTTGCAACAACCCTGGCCTAGGGCGTTTCAAAAATATTTTTGAATATCCGAGAAATCTGATTTTGTTCAAAGAATTTGTGAAGGACATTCAAAGCCTGGATTTTTATTCAAATGATTTTGAAAGAAACGACATTTTGAAGCCTACTCTAACATTTGATTTTGAGTAGGATGGACTATCGCATCTTGTGACCTATTTTACAGGGCCTTCACCATCGTTATTTGCGATTTCGACTGTATATTTTTAGAAGGCTTCTATTGGGTTTAAAAAAAATTTGAATGACGAACATTGCTTGGATTGTTGTAAAGAAGGTTTCTCAAAGTCTGGTTAAAAAAACTCAGTAAGGAAAGTAGTAACGTCGGACTGGGCCGACTATATGATACCCTTCACCACTTTGGGTATATTCTACATATTTATCCGAAAAGATGTCGCCTTTTTGAAGGAATTTTGATATGAAATTGAACGAACTTACATATGTTACTTTTACTACGACTTTCTGAAACCTATGCTAAATTTCATTTCATTTGGGCAAGTTTAGAGTCGTTTGCGGCACAGTGGGGCAGATTTGTGTAAATCGATTTTAAGCAAACTTGACACAGGCTATTCGGTATGCTGCACTGTTTAAAATTTGTTCTCAATCAGACACCCATTGATTATTTGGTGCACAATTAACATAAATAAGTTGAAATTATATATGGAAGCTACGATATATCTATATCTGAACCGATTTCAAGCTAACTTGCCAGAGATTAATTTATATTAACTTCAGTACGTTGTGTCAATCGGCCTAGCTATGGATCTTTAGTGCACCATTAACTTAAAATCGGACGAAAATATATGTAGGAGGTGTACTCATCATATCAGACCTAGTTCAGTACGCTATACAAAATATCGTGCAAATCGAATGATATATAGGGACTTTGGTGCATCAATTACTTTATATCGGACGAAAATATATCTAAATCTGAACAAATTTGCACACATTATTCTAGGCTTAATTTAGTACGCTATTACAAAATTCGTGCAAGTCATATGATTTTCAGGGACTTTGGTGCACCATTTACCTAAAATCGGGCGAAACTATATATGGGAGCTATATCTACATCTGAACCGATTTTCACGAAACTTAGCAAACATCTTTTTAGACCTAATTCTGTAGGCTATACCAAATTTCGTGCAAATCGAAACATATATAGGGACTTTGTTACACCATTTACCTTAAATGGGACGAAAATATATATGGGAGCTATATCTAAATCTGAACCGTTTTCTCCCAATTTGCAAAGGATTTTTGAAAGGAATAGGGTTCGTCTCTGTGCCAAATAAATGAGCTATGCCATATTTCATCCAAATCGGATTATAAATGCGACCTGTACTTTGTTTACAATTTAACATCAACAGACGGACGGACATGCATAAATCGACTCAGAAAGTAATTCTATGCATATTCTCAAAAGGGTCTATGGGTCTATGGGTCTATCTCGATTATTTTTGCCTGTTATAAACATATGTACAAAGACATAATACCCTGTACCACAGTGTGGTGAAGGGTGTGAAAATACTTTAAAAATCGCCCATAACGACATCGTTTTTAAAGGCATGTCGGTTATAACGACGTAACCTAAAAGTTCCGCAAAAAATTCTGTCCATTATCGTTATCGTGTTATGGGATTATTTTAAAGAATTTGTGAAGGCAATTTAAAGCCTGGATTTTTGTGCAATGAACTTTTGAAAGCCCATCGAAGCCAGTATTTAACCAGTGAGCGGAGCAGTATAGTCGGACGGGGCCGACCATATGATACCCTACACAACTTCCATGAAAAAACTAACTTTCTGTGGGTCTATATTCTGAGCTTGGGCAATATTTCGCGATATTTGAACCATCTGGACCAACTAGAGGCCGACAATTATTACTAATGTTCAGTACAGCCCTTCTAATTTCTGTCCAGATTCCCTTCCCTTGTGTTGTGATCTTCGTATTCCCATTGGAGCCTATAGATCGACTCGAAAAAAACACAAAAAATTAAGTTTTCGGTCGACTTCATCACAATATAATTATCTGATCGCCACCGAAAATTATAGGCGTTATCTTTGACCATAACTGGAACTTCATGGAACATTTTAAAGAGATCAGCGCTATATTTCCGCCCTCTAGTGTGATAAAGAGTTACTAAATAACGTCTGAATACATAAGAACCTGTAAATATTTGAGTGTAACTGCCACATCTGAGTACATACAGCCATATAATTGGTATCAATTTAAAGGTCAACCACTGCCCTTGGATATATCAACAACTTTTCGGGTCCATGTCCTTCAGGGGTAAATCTATACGCTATTGAATACAATTTTTTTAATTTTTCACACAAAAGTCAGGGTCCATTTGTCCCGCTAAATATTAACCGATCCTTATCAAAAGAGGCATGCTTATTCTTTGGCCCGATCCCCTTTCTATGTAAAAATTCGCGATGTTTGGGTCATAATTGCGGCCTCTAGAGCGACCAGAAAAACCGACAAATATGTAGTATTTCGTCCATTAAGCGATCTTTACCAAAAACAATAGGGGTCTTCATTGGGCAGAACACATCCTACATGCAAAATTTCGTGAAGATTGGTCCATAACTGTGGCCTGTATCGTGTTTACAAATTATAATGGACAGACGGACGGACGAACACACATGTCTAGAGCGAATTAGCTAGTCGAGATATGAGGATCGGTATACTAGGACCAATATTTCGTGGCGTTACAAACTCTTGGGGCTGCACAAAGCTATAATACCCTGACAACATAGTTGTATAGGCTATAAAAATATATTTTTAACAATTATAGACGCGGATTTGTTAAGAATATTTTTGAAGCTTCAAGATTCAATAGCATATCTTTTTTAAATCCAATAAAACCCAGGATTTTATATATTAGGTTGGGGAAAAAGAAATTTGCTGGTAGGAAGATTTTCTACTCAATGAAAGAACTCAAAATATCAAATTAAAGCTGATTAGGTTGAACAACGTGCCCCACAGCTATAAAATATCGTATATTGGGTTCAACAAAGTCATAATTTTTAGTCAATCAGTAAGCTGGGTATCATATAGTCGGCTTCGTCCGACTTTGGTCATTTCCTTCCAGATTTAGACCAGGCAAATTTAAAGCACCCGTGCCATACACAAGTTCCTTTATTAGCTAAAGGGAATTCGCAATAAGAGGCGACAAAAATAAACAAAAGTCCATTGTTGGGGATTTTCTCGCTTTTTATCTTCAATGAACAGTGGCGTATTTGGACCTGTTTATCATTCAGAGCTCAAAATTCTTCTGTTAAAATATTTATACATCACGAATGAGAATAGCAAGAGGGAAATACAACTAGTCTCTGGAGAAACCCATGTACGCCAATGACAGTTGTTCGGTTTTGCGTGCCAGAAACCACAAGTTGCGAAAATAATTTTTGTATGCTCTTTAACTCAAAGAGATTGAGTGCATTTTATTAATACACACATTTTAAACTAATTTCAGTTCAACAAGACCAGTAAAAGATTGGAGGCTTTGCTTTGCACAAACACACAAAATAAAAAGTAAATAATGTCGGCGGTATTCCAAGGTAAACTGGCAGAACATTTAAATTTTGGCCATATTTTAGAGATTGGAGCCCAGGTTGAAGCGGAGGGGTCATGGTGAGTTTTCAACACAATATTAAAATAAATAAATTAAAAATCTATATTTTAGGTTCTGGATATCATTGACCACCGGGCGCTTTCAAGAACGTGATCACATCGACATTGGCCTACACATGATAGTAAATACGCAACATGAAAAAATTATTGTGAAGCAACAGGTCCAAAAAGAATGGGTGGAAGTGGCCACCAAAGAATATAATACCGAAGAGTTTTTCCAACGCTTTCAAATCAATCTAATTATGGATGGAGAAAAAATCCATATTAGCATTAATCGAAACCCCTTCATGTTTGTACTCTATCGCGTCCCAATTGAGTCATTGAATACGTTGAAAATTTCCGGACATTTATCACAAATCTATCAACTCGATCATCGTAAATATTTTCCACGTCCCTGGCCACCAATACAATTGTCCGAAGATCGTGTACATTTTAGTCATGATATACCGTTGGCTTTTCGTCCTGGTCATGTTATGGTTATAATGGTAAAGTTGAGGGGTGATATCAAGGGTCGATTCATTATGCATTTTCGTAATGCCGAGAATATTAAACGGCAAGAGGTTCATATTAGCATGCGTTTTGATAAGAAGAAGGTAATACGCAATTCGAAATTACAGACACAGAGTAAAAAGGATCCGCCGGAGAAAATGGTGTAAGTAAAAATAGGTTAAAACGTATTTTTGTTCCGTCGGCACTCGGTTCTGAAAATTGGGCTAGCCCTTGAACATAAAAAAATGACACTGATCTTTGTATGGGGACTATGTACTGGTAGAAGTATAGACTTTTATTGAAAAGTTCCGTTAAGAAGTTATCGATTCGATTAGTAGTTATTGATGCTCTGAGAAAATTATAGAACGCTTGGGTTGAAAACTGGGCTAGGAACTTGAACATACCAAAAAAAGCGGGACCATTGAATAAGGTCTATTAAAAAATTGGGACCTGTATTGAAAATATTCTGGGCGGATGTTTTTTATTCATAAGGAGTCTGGACTGCCAGATTATAGGCCCTTCGGTGATAGCAAATTAAAACTAAAACCAGTAAGGAAAGTAGTAAAGTCGGACGGGGCCGACTATATGATACCCTTCACCACTATGGGTATATTAAACAGGACTATTAACATGAAATTGGATGAAATATAATATGTTATATTTATCTAAATGTGAATCTACCTAGATCTGTCCATAAAGTATGTAAATCGACTTCAAACAAATATAAATAGGTCATCCGTTTGGCTATGCCTGTACTTTTAGAAAATGCAACTACGTAGTTCTATGCTCAGTTTTGTACGTTGTGCAAAATTTGATGTCAATCTGACTAACATGAGGAGTTTGATGCCCAATTTACTTGAAATCGGGCGAAAATATATATGGAAGCTTTATCCAAATATTAAGCGATTTCAAACACACTTCTCACACTTATACTACTTACACACTTATACTAATTTTAGAACGTTTTGTTCCTATTGGTTCCTTGGTGCGTAAATTACTTTAAATCAATCTATAAGGCAGACATCACTCTAGGCTCAATTCAGTACGTTATGCCAAATTTCGTGCAAATCGAAGGATATATAGGGACTTTGGGGCACCATTTACATGAAATCGGACGAAACTATATATGGGAGCTATATCTAAATCTGGACCGATTTTCTTGAAACTTGGCAGACATCACTCTAGGCTTAATTCAGTACGTTTTGCCAAATTTCGTGCAAATCGAAAGATATATAGGGACTTAGGTGCACCATTTACATGAAATCGGACGAAACTATATATGGGAGCTATATCTAAATCTGGACCGATTTTCACGAAACTTGGCAGGCATCATTCTAGGCTCAATTCAGTACGTTATGCCAAATTTCGTGCAAATCGAAAGATATATAGGGACTTTGGGGCACCATTTACATGAAATCGGACGAAACTATATATGGGAGCTATATCTAAATCTGGACCGATTTTCTTGAAACTTGGCAGACATCACTCTAGGCTTAATTCAGTACGTTATGCCATATTTTGTGCAAATCGAAGCATATATAGGGACTTTGGGGCACCATTTACATGAAATCGGACGAAACTATATATGGGAGCTATATCTAAATCTGGACCGATTTTCTTGAAACTTGGCAGACATCACTCTAGACTTAATTCAGTACGTTATGCCATATTTTGTGCAAATCGAAGCATATATAGGGACTTTGGGGCACCATTTACATGAAATCGGACGAAACTATATATGGGAGCTATATCTAAATCTGAACCGATTTTCACGAAATTTGGCAGGCATCATTCTAGACCTAAATGATTAGGCTGTACTAAATTTCGTGCAAATCGAAAGATATATAGGGACCGTTTACATTAAATCGGACGAAAATATATATGGGAGCTATATCTAAATCTGAACCGATTTTTCCCAATTTCAATAGGGTTCGTCCTTGGGCCAAATAAGTGACCTATGCCAAGTTTCATCCAAATCGGATCATAAATGCGACCTGTACTTTGTTCACAAAAATACATGGACGGACAGACGGACAGACGGACAGACGGACGGACGGACGGACGGACAGACGGACATGCGTAAATCGACTCAGAAAGTGATTCTATGCATATTCTCAAAAGGAACCATGTGTCTATCTCGTTTCCTTTTGCCTGTTACAAACATATGCACAAAGACATAATACCCTGTACCACAGTGTGGTGAAGGGTATAACTATAATATCGAAAACATGGCGGGTCCATCTTTATATTGGGGCTATGTGAAAACATAAACTTACAATAAAAATCGTTTACAAAGATATTTTTCTCTCTACAAGAATTAGGAATTGCAATTTAAGTCACTTCAATGGCTATATTCGACTAAAATTTAAAAAATACCGAAAACCTATATAGAAAATATGTTTGTATTTTTCGGGGGCTATGTCCAAATATGGACCTATAGAGAATATTTTATTTAAATCCCCTAATGCAAATTACAGCCACTTTGATGGGAAAATGCTGCTATGACCTTAATAATACCTAAAATGGGACGGGATCTCTATGTAGGGCCTATGTCAAAACTTGGACCTTTATAGAACATTTTCTACAAAGATGATTTTAATCCTCCAAGAACTGCAAATGTCAAATTACAGCCCCTTCGGAGGGAAATGCAGCTTAAGCCTAGGAATTCCAGAAAATGGGACGGTACCTCTATGCGAGGTCTATGTCAATGTTCTTGGACCCTTTACCCTTCATAAAGGCGGATTGTCAAATATGCACATTTCACTGAATCCTTAAAATACCGAAAATGGGTCGGGTTCTTATGTGGTTCTGGTCGAAGACTGGGCCATCCTTCAAGAACCCGAAATGCTAAATTACAGCCACTCCGGCGGTAAAATGTTTTTAAAATCTTCAGAATACCGAAAATATAGCGAAATATTAATATGGAGGGGGGGCATCGTTATATATGGGATACACGAAAAAGTGGATCTATAATTAAAATTTTTAATAAAACGATTTGCTATTCAATCAGAACCCCAACCGAATTCCATAAATTATAGGAAATTCGGTTGAAAAATATGCCCATTATATTACCATTATATGCCCAAAACGTGGGCCGATATATACCATTTACAACACCAGAATATCCTGGGATTATTAGCAATGCATGTGTAAAATTTCAAAGCTCTATCTTAAATATTTACGAGCACTATCATGATTTCAACAGACAGACATCGACATAAAATATATTGAATATTTCAAGTCGTTGGGTTTAAAATATATTTAAATATTTTATTTATTTTTTTTCTTTCAGTTTTGGCAGCGAAGAAAAGGACGGTCACTTTCCATTTGAGGATTTTTCAACGCCGTTTAAAATAGCGGTGGCCTTCACTGAGTCGCATTTTCGCATGGCCAAGGATGGTGTATTTCTTTTCGACTATGCCCTGCGTACACCAAATGTTTTGCCTCAGATATCTGGTGTCAAGATTTTTGGTATCGATGGTGTGACGGTACGTGTCAGTTCTATTGATCATTTCCATTTGGATGATCCGACGTGTGAAGGTTTTGAAAAATTATCGAATAAAAAAATTTAAATAATTTTATAAATGTTTCTTTAATATGTCTCTGGTGCAATTGAAAGTACACTAGTGACAGTCGGTGTTGCCGACAGATATATACCCTCATCTTATGATTTGCGGATTTATAAGGAATAAAACAAGGTTTGTTTTATATGTGTTATATGTTTTTATCAAAGAGTTTAACGTCTTTAAAGAGTTACCAGAAGAGGTTGCCCTATAGACCATATCTTAGGATTTAATGGAAAAATTGCAAAACAAAAAGGAAAATATTATTGTCAACAAATTTTGAAAATGTTGACACTTCGTGGGGAAGGTTCCGAAAGGTGTAAACAAACGGGTCCCATCTTCAAGCATGATATATGTATGGTGTATATGCAAAGTTTATATGAAACTGGATATTTCATTCGATCCATATGAGATCTACATGTTATCAAAATTTTGACGCTTTGAGGGGGAGGTAAGAGAAGGAGTGGACTAGTCACATTTTACACCCATATATAGTATTAACCAGTAAGGAAAGTCGGACTGTGCCGACTATATGATACCCTTAACCACTTTGGGGATATTCTACATATGTATCTTTACAGATGTCGTCTTTACGAAAGAACATTGACATAAAACTGAACGAACTTAAAAATGCGATCTTTAGCTATAAGTAAACCGACTAACATCAATCCTTACACATGCTATTCTGCAATCTATTCCCCAGATTTTAACTTCACGCACGCTATTTGGTAAGCTTCACTGTTTAAAATGTAATATCAATCAGCACCCATTCATTATTTGGTTTACATTACATTATTTGGAACCAATTTTAAGAAAACTTGACACACGAAACATTATAGTACCTTCAGTACATTGTACAAAATTGTGTGCGAGTCGGCCAATCTTTGGCTCTTTAGTGCACAATTTACATTAAATCGGAGGAAAATATATATTGAAGCTGTATCTAAATCTGAACCGATTTTCGCGAAACCTAGCACACATCAAATTTCGTGCAAATCGAAAGATATATAGGGACTTTGCAGACCCAATTACCTTAGATCGGACGAAAATATATATGGGAGCTATATACAAATCTGACCCGAAATTTGGGACACGCCATTCTTGGCCTAATTCAGTACCTTATGCCAAATTTAGTGGAAATCGAATGATATATAGGGACTTTGGTGCAAGATTTACCTTAAATCGGACGAAATTATATATGGGAGCTATATCTAAATTTAAACCGATTTTCTCGAAACTCGACACACATCATTCTGGACCTAATTCAGTACTCTATGTCACATTTCGTGCATATCGAATGATATATAGAGACTTTGGTGTCCCATTTACCTTAAATCGGACGAAATTATATATGGGAGCTATATCTAAATTTGAACCGATTTTCTCGAAACTCGACACACATCATTCTGGACCTAATTCAGTACTCTATGTCGCATTTCGTGCATATCGAATGATATATAGGGACTTTGGTGTCCCATTTACCTTAAATCGGACGAAACTATATATGGGAGCTATATCTAAATCTGAACCGATTTTCTCGAAACTCGACACACATCATTCTGGACCTAATTCAGTACTCTATGTCGCATTTCGTGCATATCGAATGATATATAGGGACTTTGGTGTCCCATTTACCTTAAATCGGACGAAACTATATATGGGAGCTATATCTAAATCTGAACCGATTTTCCCGAAACTTGGCATACATCATTTTGGACCTAATTCAGTACCCTATGCCAAATTTCGTGCAAATCGAATGATATATAGGGACTTCGGTGCCCCATTTACCTTAAATCGGACGAAAATATATATGGGAGCTATATCTAAATCTGAACCGATTTTCTCGAAACTTGGCACACATCATTTACCTTAAATCGGACGAAACTATATATTGGAGCTATATCTAAATCTGAACCCATTTTTCCAATTTCAATAGGATTCGTCCTTGGACCAAACAAGTGACTTGTGCCAAATTTCACCCAAATCGGATCATAAATGCGAGATGTACTTTGTTTACAATTTAACATCTACAGACGGACGGACGGACATGCATATATCGAAAGTGATTCTATGCATATTCTCAAAAGGAACCATGTGCCTATCTCGTTTCCTTTTGCCTGTTACAAACATATGCAAAGACATAATACCCTGTACCACAGTGTGGTGAAGGGTATAAAAATTTTGAATATTTGTGGTGGGGTGTGGGTACCCGAAGGAGTGGACCAATGGGTCCTATCTTCTGACTTGATCTAGGTTTGGTAAAGATAATAAATATATTGTCCAATTTTTTTTTTAAAATCGCATGATATTTTCAAATTAATTTTCAGCAAATTTTGACCATTTTTGGGAGATGTACCAAAAGGGGTGGACCGATATCTTCATATTACAATGTGCAAAGTTTGGATGAAATCGGTTACTCTTTTCGAGAGTCCTATGAAACATAGGGTCTAAAAATAATATTTCTATGAAACAAGCGCTTTTTAAAATTTAATCTCAATCGTACACACGATATTTATAAAGTGGACATTTTGCATGAATTTAATCTTAATAGTTTAAAATAAAATCATATTGTATGTTCAATTCGGTATTTCGCAATCGGACAAGCATTGGGATTTTGATGTAGTATGCTGGAATCGCATAAAAATTTGTATGGAAGCAATACCTGAATCCGAATCAATTTCCAGTGATTACAATAGAGTTTGCCCTTGGATCGTATAAATGTGCTGTACCAAATTTCATCTAATTCGGATCAAAAGTGCGACCTGTACATTGTCTACAATAATATATGGACAGACTGACTGACCAGTATAAATGCATATCTCATTATCTCATCCAAATATTCAAATTTTGTTATTCTACACAAAAAATCTTCGAATACACCTATATTTAAGTAAAGCTCCCACGTCCGAGTAGATATAATACTATATTTGATATCAATTTTAATGTCAACCACTTCTCTCGGATATACAATGCAACATCTTGGATCTATGTACTTCAGGAGAAAATATATACGCCATAATATACAAATTTTGAAATTTGTCATACAAAAGGCTGGGTACATTTGACCCGCCAAATATTTGCCGATTTTCGTTATAACAGTCGTGCATATTATCTGTGTACAATTTCGGGTAATAATTGTGTATAATGTAAATGGGAATGGCATGAAATAGCGCCACTCAGAGGAAAATGGAAACACTAAAATAATTACGTATATCGACCACTGCTTCTAAACAATGATAGATGGCAGCCCCATTTCCTAGGACAAGCTACAGTTGATCACTCATAACCACTAATAGAATAAGGTGACTATGCATTGGTAAGCATTGCCGAACAGTCACTACCAGCAATTGCAAACATTCGAACAGTGAACAATGGAAAAGGACACAGAATTTCTTGTATGTTGGTGCTGATTAACCTTTCCCTTCGTTTCAAGCTAATGTTTTGTATACTTTACTAGCGGAACCCGAGGCGCTTCGCTGCCCCTGCTGAAGTTATCAGATTAAAATTTAAATAGAATCAATTAGCAAGCATATACAGCTGCAATATTTACTAAATTTAGTTTTAAAATTAGGTAAACACTGGTATTTTTATATGATCGTATTAACACTACAAAAAGGTGTGAAATATCCATGTTGTAGTAGTTGTATAGTAGTTATTAAATAATTCGCAGTTTTCTGTACTGGTGGTAATTTTTGTTTTCTTAAAACTAATTTTTTTGGCAAAGTAACAAAAATTCAAAAATTATAATGTAAATACTTTTTATCAATTTTACACAATCAATCACCTCCAAAATTGTATTTTTTAATTAATATCTGAATTTATCCTATCCCCGTCTCTGACTTTTTCCAGATGATAAAACGATTTATAATTAAAATGCACACTACTTACTTCAATGGGAAGGGATCCCTTTCTCACTCCGATTAATATCGCTTATATACCTGACGATCCTTGTTAAGTTTGACTTTCATAATATTTTTACCGAACCTAGATATAGTATTGTTATTCTTAAGAAACCATGATCAAGTCCGAAGATAGGATTTGTGGCATTTGAGTTAGTCATTTCCTCTATACATCCTCGAAATATATCAGCTATAATGATAAGCCACCACATATTTCGGACTATTATAACTTTTATTCCAAAATCAGCATTTCTCTTTTGGATATCTCCCATATTGAATTAATAGTCTTTTTCTTTAATGGTGGTTGAACTTTTAAAATTAAAAATTCAAATTTAATTTTTTTCACAAATTGACAAAATGTTAAAATTAGAATGTCAAAAATTTTTCATTTTACGCAAATTTTATTCCAATATGTTGATAATGGAGAGATGATTTGGACCACTTTTGTTAATTCCTGTTCACTTAAGATTAGTATGTACTTATCTGAGTATCATACAAATTTGTATGAGACGATTTATTTAAGATATTCTAATATATGCATCGAAAATGAATATTAGTTCAGAGGTATGATTACTGTTGATGCTATAATTCCTCGTCATCGCGGAATTTTCGAAGTTTATCTTGCATATCTTACTTACATGGGTTGACATGACTTACTGCGAAAATTTCAGTAAAATCTAATTAGCGGTTTTTGTGTCAACAACCAAAAGAGTTTTCATTTTCTACATTTAGATTAATTAAATGCAGTGAGGAGTACATTTTCCCCTATTGTACCGCGCCAATTTTTATAGGGATGATGCGTATTTGCTACCAAGTTACTCAGACAAATTTTGAAGTGGGAATCTGTAACCCTTCTTAAGATATAAGCTTAGAAAATGAATATTAGTTCAGATGTATAATTACTTTCGATGCGATAACTCCACATCCACGCGAAATTTTGGAAGTTTATGTAACCTATATTTTTTCCCTCGGATTGCATGATGTCCGGTAAAAATCTGAGTAAAATCTGTTCAACGATTTTTTAGTCTAGAAAGAAAACATTTTTTATTTCCTACATATAGATTATTTAA